AACTTTTACTATAATTACTTTAAGCGCGCCTATAAGCTCTAAGGCCCTTTTAACGCGTATATATATATAAAGCTTAAGAAATATAATATTAAAGCAGTATCTCGGCGCAAGGATATAAAAAAGGAGAAACCGCGGTGCTTTATTAAGGAGCAAGGGCTAAACGCAGGTAATTAGGCAACAATTATAAAGTATAAGCAGCTGCTTAAGCTGTTTAAAAATATAATAATATAGCTACAGGGCAGAGGTTTAGCTAGTAGCTACGGAGCTATTTAGGAAGTTCTTATTATATTTAAATAGCTACTCTCGGCTCTTAAAGAGCAGAAGAAAAGGCTTAAGGCTATTAACTATAAAAATCTAGATACACCCGAAGATTACTTAGTTATTAATATTAATACCGCCTATAAAAAGCTTGCGGATTACTATAGGAAAATAGAAGACACTTTTATCTATTTTATAGCTATAATACTTTATTTAGTATATAAACACGCGCTTAAAGGGCTATAGAAGGTGCTAAAGGATTATAATATAAAGCGTAATAGGCTATATTTATATAAGAACTGGCTTTTAAATAGCTATAGCTTCTTCCGGCTGCTGTAGCAGGCATATAAGGATAAGGTGGCTGTAAAGGCTGCTGGCGCAGCATCTCCTACCTTATCTCCTAATATAAGGCCTGTAAAACGCCGTTAAATAAGCCCTATAAATAACTAAGCAGACTTCTTTAGGAACTTTATAGAGAAGGGTAAGTAGGAGATAAAGGAAACTATTAATAATAAGTATAAAAGGTGGAAGCGCGAGCTAACTCTAAAATAGGATAACCTACTAGTAAAGGACCCTATTTAGTACTAGGTTATTATAAGAGATTGCTATCCTATTCTAGGCTAGCTAGCCCTTAATATCTACTCTATCCCAGCCTTTTTAGCTAATTATAAGAGAATTTTTAGCAAACTTAGCGATTTCCTAGGCGTATAACGCCTTAATATAAAGCCTAAGTTACTTAGTACTCTGCAATCTATACGCTCCTGGCGTTAAATTAGTATTAAACCTCCTAAGTAGTAATCAACTTATTAATTAATCTATTAATTAAACCAATTAATTCAACTTAGGGGTTAAAAAGTATTAATTTTATTAACTTAACTTAAGCATCTCAGAAATTAATTAAATCAAATTAAATCAATTACAGCCTGTTCAACGAAGCAATTAATTAACTTAGAGACGTTAAAGTTAATTAATTGATTAATCCCCACTTTGGCCGGACATGGAAGCAGTTAGGGCGACAATAGAATTCGCAAAGAGCATAAGGCGGTTGCAACCAAAAGTACAAGACAAAGAAAGTAGAGACGAAGAGGAGGCAGAGGAGAGGGGCCAGCTAAGGATGCCCTCTTCTGCCTTATAAGCATAGAACGACAAGCTGTCTATAAACGCGCCTCGGCCAGTGCGCTGCCGATTAAGAGGCGCACGACGCCGGAAATGCCCTGCGGACGCGAGGCCTCGACAAGCCAGGCAGCTTGCTCCATACGGTAGTGTATTACTTTCCTTTACTTTCCTTTGTTAAGCATGGAGTTAGGCATCGGACGAGCAGGTCTTATAGTTGGCTTCTGAATTAGAGCAGACAGATTAAGGATAAATGTATATAGCTGGCGCTTCGTAACGGCCTATACCTATAGGGTGCATGGCCATAATAGAACAAAAAAAAAAAAAAAAAAAAAAAGAGTCAGCTCAAGCGGTGGTGGAGAGGTACCCTTCTGTACCGTGGCAAATCACGTGCCTAGGCTAATGGTGCTGATCGGATATGTACATAAGATGGATTGCCAAGGCTTCCACGTACGGGTGGGTAAATTAGAATCCATGTTGCGACCACGTTTGGGGCGAAGCCGCATTCGCTAGCAATTGTAGATAGGTAGCAACAGGTGGCAACAAGGAACGGCTGCCAAAAATAGCCAGCACGTGACCATTCATGGATGTTTCTAGAAGCCCGCCGCATTTTAATCATAGCATAAAATACAGTACATCTAATACCTCCCTACGTAAGCGCGCGAAAACCCTCATGCCAAGACACACTCTGGACCTCTTCGCATGGATAAATCCGGAATGTACGTTTCCAAGAGCCTATTGCCTCAAAGCTTAGAGGCATCTTCTTTCATTCTGGAACCATCGGTTCAATACTCCGAAATATGAAATTTGGGAGATAGCCATGTGTAACGGGTCGTCTCTTCTATACCTTCCAAGTGTCACACACTAAGGCAGGGTATAGGCAAGTCGTCGTCGGGGTGCAATAGTCTTCAAAAGGTGAGGCAAGATCAATCTCAGGTATAAGACGGGGTTGTTACTTCCAATAGGTAGTATTGAAGTCTTAAGTTGAACACGAGGTTCCTATCTATGCAAAGGAGCGTCCCTATATACGAAAGCTCCGTCCTAAGAAACCTCTTGCTCGTATGGCTCTCAGCCTCGAGCCCCTCGAGCGTTCACCTGGCTCGCTCCCTCGAGCCCCTCGAGCGCTCGCCCGGCTCGCTCTCTCGAGCCCTTCGAGCCATCACGTGGCTCTGTCCTCGTGATGTTCTATTCTTAGATCGTTCCCGTTCACTAGCAGTCCGTGGGGGAATCCAGGATCCCTATGCGTCCCACACGTGACCCCCTTGGTCCCGTGACCTGGTTCTGCGTAATCAGTCTTATCTGCTTGCTTGTTTCCGCGAGTGCCTCTGCGCTCGGGTGGTTCGTATTACGGGTTGTAACACCATGGTGCAGCAGGGGTGTAAAGCTAATGCCGTTCCGGATGCTCTGAAAGGAATGATCGACAGTATGATCAAGAACGTCGTAATTTTTTAGCTGCACACTAGTTTCCTAGGGAGGAATGTCTGAAGAATAATAGTAGGCTAACGATAACTTGATTGGATCGCGAGGGAGAGAGCAAGATGCCGAAGCAATAAATTTGTTGCGGCATGGGGGGTGTTGCGCCACACAGGGGGGGACGTTAGCACTTCGATAACCGAAGACTCATTTCCAACTCATATTCCGGATATTCGAAGCAGGCTTCGGTTCTAGAATCATGTCGAAACGATGCGATGGGCCTTAGGAAATGCGTCGGAGTCCGCTGGGAACCAACCTTCGAATGCCATCATCGTCGCAATCGATTGCGAGTGGCATGAATATGAACCGAGAGAGTTGACCGAGATCGGCATCGCAATGCTAGATACTCAGGATATTCAAGGTCTGGAACCGGGTCCCAATGCTAAGAACTGGCTCGACAAGATCTGGTTCTATCATCTGCGAATACGGGATCACGGTCACATGGTGAACACCAGATTCTGCCCTAGAAACCTAGAAAGCTTTGACTGGGGCACGACAAAGTGGGTGACGAAAGTGGAAGCATCGCGCGCCCTCCATGAGGTGTTCACCGAACGAATCGAGCCTATCAAGCCGGAACTTTGCCCTGTCGTCTTCCTTGGACACGCCGTTCACGGAGATTCCCAGAAGCTGGTGGAACACCTCCAGTTCGATATGACCGCCATCGGATCGGTAGTCAGTACGCTCGATACACGGGTGATCGCTAGCGAGCGCGGTTACCGTGGTAGAGGCGATAAAATCGGTCTTGGTCCTCTGTGCTCGCGGTTTAATATCAGCCCAAAGCATCTGCATAATGCAGGCAACGACGCAGCCTACACTATGCTTGCCGCTGTACTAATGGGCTTGACGAACGAGCAAAAGGAGGCCGCCCAATCTGACGAGCCGATGGAGAATCTCATGACTTCGCTAATGGCCGCCGGGAAGTCCTATAAGCCAGCGGCATGGGGAGTCAGGAGATTCTGCACCCGCTGCGACCGCGTTGGTCACACCCAACCGGAATGTATGGCCCGAGAGGAGTGCTCCAAGTGCAAGACCAAAGGCCGAAGGGGATTCCGTAACCACGCAACACATAGGTGTACGTGGGTGGAGCGAGTGTACGAATCGTTGGAAGAACTCAACAACATCCAGCGGTAATTTGACATACTGGTTCCTTGCGTACTACAGCGCTTCAATCATTACGCTTTGTAACCTTCGTGAGAAGCTACGGTCTTTCCAGCCTTTTCCAACACTTCCATTAGAATCAACGGGCTGGCTACTCGTAACTCCGGATAGATCACCTCCCAATGAAAACAGATGTTGGTCCGTAAATCTAATCAAAACTCCTTGTTTTTAGATCCAGTGACAATAAAACTTGATGAACTCGAACACCGTCTTTTGCCCCAGCAGATCGAACAGTCTATGATGACAGATGTGAACTGATGTAATACTGCACCTAACGTCAGTCCCTGCGTGCCGAGAAACCCCCCGTGCCGAGAAAATTAACGGGTACATTGACTTTAAAGCAACTCGGAATCTGTGCACACATCGATATTTTCCACAGTTCTATATAAGTCGTCTGATAAGGCTACTACTGAACACTCTCAACACCTGCTACTTAAAAATTACGGTCGCATCGTCGCCTTTGCGCCTGATTTACGGAGAGCCTTCTTTCATCGCGTAACAGAATTCCTGCGCCACAGCACCACTATCGAGCCCTTATTACTCCTGATGCTCATTAAAGGGCCTTATCCGAGCCCCAGACCCTCAATACCATACTGGGAAGTCGTAATCAATCTTGTGGCTGCTGTCGCACGCAAATCGAAGCACTTACCAATCATGGCTAGTGCAAAACGACTACATAATCATCACGGTGTAATTTACTTACAGTGGCTGTTAGACCTGTGGCTGTGCGCAGTCCTGGCAAGCGGGCCGACCTCAGCCCTGCAGCTCTGCGATCCAACTCAACCTTGGCTGTGCCTCCGGTCAACCAAGTCAACTCTTTAGAAAACACCTACAGAATTCGCCACCTCACAAGGGTGTGGCCAGAGCGGGTCGGCCACCTCCCTACTACAATAGCGCAAGCAAACTCCAGCGCTTTAGAATTCTAAACCAGACTAGCGCCTAGAAACTAGAAATGGCTCTCGGCAGAATGTAATTCCGTCTCCTGTACGCGAACCCCACTCCAATGAGCTGCGGCCAGCAATCTGGCTGCAACCCCGCCCGCCTTCTCAGCTTCCTCGAGCTGAAAGATAGGCTGCAACACTCTCTACAACATCAAACTGGCCTCGTGGCTGTGTGCTTTTACGAGTGTGCCGCTGTCGACTTGTCCCCAGGCCCACACCACTTCTCTACGCTTTGCAGCATAGATGGTCTTTCAGCGGCCGCTAGCGTTGCCGCTATCATCGACATATCTGCCAAAGTCGCCTCGCTCTGCTTCCAGTACTCAGTCGCCGTCAAGGATGCAAAAAAAGACATTGAATGCCTGCAAAGGAAAGTTACTGACATCACGGGCCTTGTTGAAAAGATCAAGCAGCTATCGGACGGACGAGACAAAGCACGGCTTTCCAACACTCACGGGTTGTCTGACTCGCTCAAGGGATGTCTTCAGATGCTGAAAGAGTTGAAGGAAAAGCTAGAGCCGGGGAAGGGTCACAAGGCCATGAGCCGGTTCGGACTGCGGGCTCTGAAGTGGCCTTTTACGAGTAAGCAGGTAGAAAATATCGTTTCTGGACTAGAAAGATACGAGCAGATCCTTGCCCTAGCGCTCCAAGTTGATCAGACGTAAGTTTCTAATTCATCGTGTCCTGCTGTAGACGGTTGCTGATCAACTATATAGAGGCCTCATGCTTGACATTGATCAGAAGATGGACCTAGCAAACCAGAACACCAACAGCATTCATCAGAAGCTCGACTTGGCCAAACTACCCATAGCTAAAGGAGCATCTTTCGACTCGCACATGGATGAGCACAATGCAAGGTGCCTCGCAAATACTAGAGTGGAGCTGCAGCGTCAGATTGCGGAATGGGTTGAGGATAGCAACGGCAAACCGATCTTTTGGCTAAATGGCATGGCTGGCACCGGAAAGTCCACAATTGCACGGACTGTTGCGAAGACATTTGCCAAACAAGACAAGCTAGGAGCAAGCTTTTTCTTCAAGAAAGGCGAGGGGGAGCGCGGCAATGCCACACGATTCTTCACCACCATCGCCACAGACCTAGTGGCCCGTGTACCTGGTATGATAGTAGGCATAAGGAAAGCACTCGACGCCGACCCAGCTATTTCGGGAAGGGCTCTGAAAGACCAATTTGAGAAGTTGATCCTCTACCCGCTCTCGGAAATACAACAGACCGCGTCACAAGCTTTGGCGTGCATTGTCGTCATAGACGCACTGGACGAATGTGAGCGAGAGGAAGACATCCAAGCTATCCTTAAGCTCCTTGCTCGAACTAAGGATATGAAGCCGGTGTCGTTACGGATCCTAGTGACGAGCAGGCCGGAGCTTCCTACTCGTCTTGGCTTCAAGCAAATGTTGGACGGAACGTACCAAGACCTAGTTCTCCACAATGTCCCAAGGACTACAATTGAACACGACATCACTCTCTTCTTTACGCATGAACTTAAGAAGATTCAAGAGCAGCGCTCACTGTCCTCAGACTGGCCTAGCAGGGATCAAATCCAGGCCCTGGTCGTGCTGGCTATCCCGCTGTTCATCTTCGCTGCTACGGCCTGTCGATATATTGCAGACGGACGAGATAATCCCAAAAGGCGCTTAGAAGTCGTTCTTCAGTATCAATCGACCACCCATGTTTCCAAGCTTGATAGAACGTACCTCCCCATCCTAAACCAGCTGTTTGACGACGAAGATGAAGCAGACAAGCAAAGGCGGACTAGCGAGTTCCGAGGCATAGTGGGGAGTATCATCGTTCTAGAAAGTCCTCTCTCTATTCCCTCACTTGCGCGCCTCCTTCAGCTCTCCAAAGAGGATATTAGGTGCAGGCTGGACTCACTACATTCCGTTCTCAGTGTCCCTGTCGATAAGGATGAGGATGAGCCCGTAAGGCTCCTCCACCTGTCTTTTCGCGACTTCCTTGTCGATGCTCAGAAGCAGGGGAAGAGCCCATTTTGGGTAGATGAGACAGAAACACACCAAAGGCTAGCCAGCAGGTGCCTTCAACTAATGTCTGGCTCGAAGGGGCTAAGGCAAAACATGTGCAAACTTCTATTACCTGGAGTCCGAAAGAGCGAGATCGATGAAGAGACGATTGCTAGCGGTCTACCACCTGAGTTACAATATGCTTGCCGTTATTGGGTGCACCATCTAGAGCAGAAAAAACGCAACATCTATAATGGGGATTCAGTCCATCTATTCCTCCAGAAGTATTTGCTATATTGGTTGGAAGCTATGAGCCTTATTGGAGAAGTATACAAGTGCATCTATATAATTAATAGACTACAGGCGCTTGCAGATGTAAGATAATATTACACACCCTATTATAGCTACCGTCTATACTTACGTGTTTGCAGCCAGATACAAGTGCCGTCTTAAGCTTTCTTCACGATGCAAAGCGGTTTACGTTGCGGTTCCGGTCTATATTAGAAGATGCACCTCTACAGGTCTATATATCAGCCCTTACTTTTGCTCCAAAGAGGAGCATAATACGGAAGACATTTGCAGGCCACATTGCGGGTTGGGTTAGTAGGATTCCGAAGGTGGAAGATGATTGGGATGCTTGCCGCAGCACGCTCGAGGGCCATTCTGGCAGTGTCAACGCCGTAGCCTTCTCGCCGGACGGCCAGCTAGTCGCGTCGGCATC